AGCTCATCCGGAACACGGGTCCGAGAATGTCTTCAGTTAGAGAGACAATATTTGAGAAAGATGGACTGTTGATCCATTCTCAGCGTCCTCGACTAGCCGTTGGGGGAACATTTTTCGGCGGAGATTAGCAGGCCTGCTGCGACACTGCCGCTTTCCGAATCACCTAAGCCGACGTGGGCAGTTGATGTCACAACTCCGGCTTTGGAAAAGATTCGATATGAGCTTTCTGTGTCTAACTGAAACAAGGCTCCTAGACCCGATGACCTTCCCCATCTTTGCTGAAGGTGGTGGTGATTCTTTGTTGAATTGACTTGCTTCACTTTTTGACACCATTTGCGACACTGAAGAAGTGCCTTCAGGCTGGCGACTGTCAACTGCCGTACCCATCTTCAAGAATAGTCATCGTACTTTGTGCGAAAATCACAGACGCATTATTTCCATTGCCTTAAAAGTTCTCACTGGTATCTTTCTTCGAAGACTTACTGATCTCCGTGAAGACCAAATCACTGAAAGCCAGGCTGGCTTCCGCTTTACTCGTGGTTGCATTAACCACATATTTACTCTTCGTCAACTTTTAGGGCAGAGACACATTCAGACGCTCGACTAGGGTGGTTTTCCTTGACCTGAAAACCGTCCCCGATTCTGTTGATCATGACAGCCAATCTAGCCAGATTCCTTTCCATTTTGAAATCGCTCTAACTTGATTCCCGACGCCGTATAAGCGTTTACGGGAAACTCTCCCTTGAGTTTTTCACGAAATGTGGATTCGCCAGTGTTGTCCTATATCTCTTTTCCTCTTCAACTTTGTTACCTAAATGATCATGAATGACTCTGTTCTTTCCGACTATTCTGGACTAGAAGTTCTGCCAGGCGGTCGACTGACAAACCTTGGTATGCGGACAACCTAGTTCTTCTTGGGTCTGATGCATTGACTATGCAAACACATACTTGTGCGTGTTGCTGCACGCTTCCGCATGTGCTTTGCACCATCAAAGTGCAAGGTGCTTTTGCAGGGCTGAACGAACACACCTCTGTTTTTAGCTATTTCCGTGCAGCCACTGGAAGTGGTGGATCGGTTCACTTACCCTGATAGATGTGTCACCTCTGGTTGTCACATCATTTCGCGTGTCAGCAAGGCCCATATGGCATTCCATAGGCTCAACCATCTTTGGAGACGGCGAGATATCAGCTTGTCAGTGAAGGTAGCGTGTATAACGCTGTTACTGTATGGGTCGGAGACCTGGCCAGTTCGTAGTGAAGACATTAAACGCACTCCCATGTTTGACCACAGGTGCTTGCGAAGTATTGCTCACGTTTGGTTGGAACACCGGATGATCACTGCTGCGTTTTGCCGGTTAGTTTTTGGCAAGAGACCTACATCTCTCGGGTGTTTGCAAAATCTTAGTCGCTTGCGTTGGCTAGGCCATGTCCTACCTATGCGCGTTGATCGGTTTCCTCGTCGTGTATTATACTCCGTAGCTGAACCTGTTTGGGAGAGATCGCGAGCTGGCCAGTTCATGACGTGGCATCGAGGCATGAACAAAATTACTGAGAGACTTGGTCTGGCTGGTTTGTGCCGTTTTCGTGGTTGGGGGCCTCAGGAAGATCCACACCAATGGTTGAAGACCGTGTCAGTCATGACTCAGTCACGAAGTCAGTGACATTTCTGCATTCGTCTTCTTCCATCTTTTTGTTAATTTTCGTTCAATTCTAATTAGTCTAACACATTTCCTTCTTGTTACCATTTTCTCTGTTATATTTGCACCCACTATCCTACCGTTGTTATTAATTGTTATTCTTACGATGTGAGTCATTGCAACTGGATCTACCGCACTTCGGTGCTCGGATCATAATTGATCAACTGAACTGAACTGAACGCTTCATCAGGACACCGACGATCTAACACAAAGGTCGTTGGTTTTAATCTGCGTAGGTGCGGACAACTCTGCAGTACACGTAGTCCGCGCGTGACTGGTGCTGATTTCGTGACAGCGAAGTCTGGGCACGAATTACCGCCGCGCGGCCCGCAACTTTCTACAGCACTCGGTGATCACATTCCTGCTTCACTCTTGGCGAATGTCCCATAGCAATACTGTGCGCTTTGCCTTCAGCCTACAATTCTGCATTTTTTGGTAGCTTAGCGAGCATCTGTCTTTTTAGGTAACCGTGTACATCACCATCACCGTTTTACATGTTAGGTGGAGGTAATGCTTCAGGTATTGCGCCTCAGATGTCACCCCGTTACACATCGTCGTAGCCACCCTTGGATCAGTTTAATTCTACCCCATCATCTTCCACTCTGCAGTGCTCTTCGTCTAGTTATTCCTTTGGGTCTTACAGGAGTGTGATGGGCCAGCATACACTCAGCAACACGTTATCAGCAATCATTTATGCATGTGGCATCTCAGACACCAATTTTCCATCCCCAGGACCCAGACGAAACCCTTGCGACGTGGACGCAATCACACTGCCCAGATGTTCTTTATTCTTCTTTCTGAGGCTGTTCATTCTGCTCCACAACTTAAATGTTGCGCTGATATGCAGGTTGGCGGATATCTGTAGGGGATCACTGCCCTAGATAAACTCTCATATGGGACCGTCTGAGCTTTACTTGTACGTTGCTTTAATTGACTTATCCCTGTATCCTCTTCGCCCAGTTTCAGCGTTGGATTGTTTCCCCCCTTTTAGGACATTTTTTTTGCGCATATGGTTCGAATCGACAAATCTCACACATATCTCACCTTGCCACGCACATAACACTGTAATCTGTTCGCATGCTTCCTATACGTAAGCCATGTTTACTCACAATACGTCGCGTACTGTTTTATATCTTGTTTATTCTGCGTTTTACCTCCACTCTTCAGATGCGGCTTCTCAGGTGATTTGCACGTTGGTTTCGTCTGCATTCTTGACTATTTACCAGGCTCTGGATCTTACACATGTGGTTTACGCGTACCTTTGGTGACAGTACTGTTACCTATTTTTAATCACAGGTTGATGGCATGGATGTCCTCACCGTTCGCGAGGCCGTTCGGTTTGCCCGTGACTGGTGTTTGTCTGGCAAGGGCCCAATCATCTTGGAGGCGGAGACATACCGTTACCACGGGCATAGTATGAGCGACCCTGGAACGAGCTATCGGACACGTGAGGAAGTGCAGGCTATGCGTCGTCTCCGTGATCCCATCACTCTGTTCCAGAAGCGCATTACCGAATCACAGCTGGTCACTGATGAGGAAATCAAGGTATATTTTGTCGATTATCTTTGTTCACTTGTTTCAGCAACTTTTTTACGCCCTGTTCACTTGTGAACGGCTTCAAACACTAAATGTCCGGTGTTTACACAGCTGTTTTACCACGTATGTACCGCAAATCGCAATGGTCATGTAACGAGTCATCTCACATCGCGAGGCTCTAACACATGCATCAAAATTGGAATTATGGTTATACTCTTACTGTGCTTTCTGATTCTGCTTTCATTCGCGAACGCCCTACTGGTTATAGGCGTTTGATCATTTCGAAGTATTATGAACGTATCACACATTATCTTCATTTATTGATTTTGCGTTTACTCCTCAACTGCGTTACGTACCGAACTGGACTGTATTTTACATTATTGGTTCCATAACCCCTTTCCATTTGCACATGTACCTTGCCCTTCGTAGTTTATGCTACGTCATACATCCCTAATGAGGCTGTGTACCACCTAGTGGTTTGCTCTGGTACCCTGTTTGTCAAGCCACTTTCCTTTCGTATTACTATTGTTAGCGTCTCTTAGTGGAAGGTGCACACAAATCATGTGACAGTGCAGCTGACCAGGAAGAACGCCCAACCCAAGGACAACGGAATACAGAAAGATGAGCGTAGCTGTTCTGGTCAACCTTTATAAGCTTTGTCCTTTGTAATTGCGTGAAATCCCTCCCCCTCCCCCCCCGAGTTAGAAGCGGAGACCTCATTTACCAGTTCACGAATAATAGTACAATCAGCATTGTGCCACAACATATAGATAAGTACAATCCGAGGTAATAAAGAGAATGGATATATAACGGATGCTACGGAATTAGAGTCTCACATGTTCGCCAATGCTCACGGTTCCTTGACATGTCCGATAGGATTTCTAGGCGTGTGTACTCACGATCCTTGCATTCCCAACTAGGGAGTCGAGAGCGCCCGACCGTGGCCATATGTGAGATCAACGCCTTCATTATTTTAGCCCAAGGCCTTCGCTGTCTACCTTGTCTTCGCTTCCTTCCGGTTTCTATGCGCGCAACAGTGCACGATGAGGCAAATGCTCAGTAGGCATACGAAGCACGTGCTCAAGCCACCGAAGCCTGTGCAGTGAAAATATGCGGCTCGGCGGCCGGCAAGATCTGTCTGATCTAAAAATCCTTCGGCGAACATCCTCATTGCTGATGTAATGTTGCCACCGTACGCTATCAATGCTCCAAAGGCGGCGATGATCAAAGACCAACAGTTAATGGACGTCATTTACACGAGCAGGCCAAGTCTCACAACTGTAGTGCAGAACCGCTTGCCGCGGCGTTGTAAACTCGGTCCTTCAGGTATAGACTCAGGTCGCGTTGACGCTAGAGATGGTGGAGATAAGCAAAAGCTACCCGGGCCTTAGAGACGCGCAGTGAGATCCCATCCGTAAAACCGTTTACGTCAGTTAGGCTGGCTTGGTCACGTCCTGCGTATATCAGCCGAGCGTGTGTCCAATTGCGCTCTTTTCGCTCGTTCAGGACTTGGCTTCAAGGGACCGCGTAGTGGTCAGTCGCCCACTTCACGTCTTGGATCCACACGCCTGACTGGTTGGGGGGGCAAAGGGCGAGGAGTGCTGATGACTAGAAACAATTCGCGAGGTGACGCCCAGTCGGAACCGGTGGAAGATCTATGTGCATAATTGATTAGATCCAGATGATTAATGCTTACTAATTGAAAACGCCAAACAAAAACAAAATGTCGTGTGGGGAAAAGTATTCCCTTCTTCTTGCGGCACAGTAGCTGGCGTTGCTCACCTTCAGCTAGTGTGTCCTGATGATGTTGTAGTGATTAAACCTGTCTTATTCCACTGATTGTGCTGGTTTTGTTCAGCTCCATGTCTATTTGCTTGTGCTTTCTGCTTATGCCCCCACCGACTGCAGTTCTGATGCTGCCAAGGACGCCTTCTACCATGAAATGTATGCGCTACTACACAGTGTTACCACTTCAGATATCATAGTTCTTGCAAGGGATATGAATGCGCAACTAGGTCGTCTGAGCTCTTCAGAAGCTCAGTTAGGTGAGCCGTATGGACTTAACTCCGACAGTACGGACAACAGCTAGCGGCTATTACAGCTGCGTACGGAGCACCGGCTGTTTCTTAGTAGCACCGCTTTTAAACACAGAGGGCGCCGAATTGTCACTTGTCGTCCACGTATAGCTGACGAGCGTTGGACCCAAATTGATCACGGTGCCATAAGTTACAGGTGGCGTGGTTCCATCTTGGCTTGTCGCTATTTCTGGAGTACTTGCGTCGCTTCGGATCTTGCCTTGGTACTCTGTCGTTTTCCATAATCTTTATCGGGAGGCGTACCAAGCGTCTCCCTCGATTCGCAACTAAGAAGTTATCTCAGCTCTCGGTCTGGTTAGCCTACCATGATGCTTTGCGTACTGAACTTTTGCTGTGTTGTCCTAATAACACCGAGCTTCAGTGGAATAAGATTTGGCCGCCATGCACGATACAGCAGCCTCCGGTTTCGGCACTATCAGTTGCTGGATATCCGAGAGGTCGGTGAACATGTTGGAATTCAGCAGAAAGCTCCCGGCTAGCTCTGAGCCCAATGTAACTAGGCGGATCGTTAGGCGCGAACTAAAGCGGAGCCTGCGTGCTGACAAGAAAGCCTGATGGACTAGTAGGACTCAAGAAATGGAGGAGGCAGGAGTAGTGGGCAGTTATCTTAAGTTCTTCCAGGTGATCCGCACCAATGGTCCCAGAAAACCAGTCGTCAGCAAGACAATCAGAGATAATGTGGGTGCCCTCATTCACAACAAGGAGCGCCGTATGGATCGTTGGGCAGAGCACTTTCGCTAGCAGTTAAATTGTCCCCCTGCTTCTGGACCTCTCCCTACTCATGTGTTGCCGATGGGGCCATGACCAATTAAAGACTGCATCCGACGCTGAGATCCGAAACGCAATCGCATCCCTTAATCGTTTTCTGGTTGCTGGCCCGGATTCCCTACCATTTGAACTATTTAAGGATAGAGGTGACGCTCTCTGCAAGGCACTGACCTGGGTTCGATACCTGCTATCTCTATCGCATGAGAGGAAACAACATCGAAACGCCTCATAAGAGTGCGATATTTTCTGGCGAGCAACACGCAATTTCTCTCCAATAACCTCCCGGTTCAAACAGGTCTGGTAGGCAGTGGCCATCCCAACTAGCTAGAGTGAATCCATTATATTGGCGATATACAAGAAGAGCAGCCGCACAGACTGTGCTAACCACTGGGTATTATCCTAACGCAGGTGCTGACAAAATTACTGGCCTCAATTTCCGTTCATCGCCTCACTGCGGAGCGCGAATCTTGGATTAGGAATGAGCAAGCAGGCTTCCGCCCAGAACGGGGCTGTATAGACCACGTATTCACTCTGCGACAGGTGCTAGAGCTGCGCCACGCGTACCGCAGACCGACAATGGCTGTTCCTCGACTCCAAGCGTGCGTTTGACTCTGTCGATCGATGCATTCAATTCGAACTACTTGCGCGGAAAGATGTTCCCATGAAATATACAAACATTTTGCCTGCTCTATACTCGAATACGATAGGCCGCGTCAGGGTCTACGGTGACGTTTCGTTTAGCTTTCCGACAACGAGGTGTTCGTCAGGGTTGTCCATTTCTCCATCTTTGTTCAACTTCCTCGTGGACTGCATCATGGAGTGTTCCCTCGCGGAATCTTACGATGCTGGTGTTTATGTGCTGCCTAGTGAAAGGCTAGTTGATTTTGACTATGCGGACGATATCGTCTTGTTGTTTAACGATGTTGGGGCAGCGCAGTCAACCTTGAATAGCCTCAGTAGAGCGATCCCATTATTTAGCATACGCTTCGCACCTTCAAAGTACGATGTTGCTGCAGGACCACCAGCCACTTGACGACCCATTGACCCTTGATAACGACGAACTTGGCAACTGTATCAGCAACGATGAGCACGTAACCACTAATGTCACTTCACGTATTGCAAAAGCTAGAACTGCCTTCCTGAATCAGTGACTTCTGTGGCGACAGAGAGGGGTATCGCTACGTATGTACAAAGCCACAGTGAGGGAGTAAGATTTGGCCCATTCGGTCTGATGACCTCCGGGGTCTTCAAGTTTTTGATTATCGTTGTCTTTGAAACATTGCTAGTGTCGGATGGCACCAGCGTGTCCGCGACGATGATGTTCGTAAGCGAGCACTAGGCAGTGATAACCAGGCTAGTCCTTTAGAACAATTGATGGCACTGAATAAGTTGCGTTGGTTTGCGCACGTACAAGTATGTCCGGTCACCGTTTATCGAGAAGTCCCTTGTTTTCTTCACCAGATACAGGGTGTCGCAAGGCGCGAGCTGGACAAAAGTTGACTTGGCAGCGGGAAATGATGTCACCTCCGACCGAACTTGGTGCCGTCTGTCCGTCTCGTCTTCCAGGCTGGAGTCCACGTAACTTGCTTTGTACTTGGCTCGAAACTTTACAGGACATGGCTCGGAATCGACACCAGTGGAGCGTCTGCTCTCTTCTCCTAGTAGGATTGCCTGTTTAAATTGTGTTTGGTGCCGCGTTGTCTGCGGGGTAATGGCTGATTAAGACGCGGGGCAGTGAAGGCCACAATGGAGCTGTCGCCGGTGCCGGCTTATTTCTGCACAATAGCCAGCTGTTTGTGAGGGTATATTGTTGATAAGTTGTAGGCACCTTTTCCCTGTGTGTTTGTTTCGGGCATTAAGGTTTTACCCTAGGCCCCTCTCTTCCTCTTATTGTTCTTCGTTCGGTTTTTCTCCGCGGTTGTACTGTAGCGAGGCATCAGTTCACATGACTGATTTACTATTGTTGATGATAATGATGATTCCTTAGACTCTTACTGATACATAGATTCAATCCGTTAGTGTTGATGCAGCTTCCAAGATGAACAAACTTATCTACCTTTTTCAGAGAATGACCTGATAGGGTGAGGGTAGGAGCAGCTCCTAAGCAATCTTGTAGGAAGAACTTGCACTTTAATTTGGCGAAGG